ATTGCTGTCTTCCATTTGGAAGATTCATCTTCACTTTCTGGCCCAGAGATACAAAAAGAAGTGACGGGAAATCTCATCTTAAGCTCACTGCAAACATTACAATCTGTCTGTACGATGTACTTTAAATCTACCATCACCACTGTTTAGTGCAAGGGCCTACCTGGCTGGATACAAATGGATTAGTGAGTTTAAGTGGTACTAACATATTTTTAGTTTTGTTATATCTAAAATTGGATGTACAAAGATAATACAGCAAGATTGTAATGTGTATGGTGAGCTATCCAAAACTAGAAGAAAAAAAAGTTTTGGCTTAAGATATACTTTAAAATCAAAATGTTTCCCCTTAGTGCCTATTCACACCACAGTGCTGTCTGCTACACGTTTTGCTTTGGCACACGTTATGGTGTGTTAAGCAGTTCATTTAAAATGAATGAGCTGAAGAAATGCACAAGAAGCCATGCTTTGTGCCTTGCTGCATTGCAGCACATGTGTGTTGCAGTAATGCGTGCATTTACATGTGCATTATTGCAACACAATGGTGTGAATGGGCCTTAGATGTCCCTCACCTAAAAAAGGGTGAGGGACATTAATGCTAAAGCACTCCAAGACACTTAACCCCAGCCCCCCGGAAGGTGAAAACTTAATTCTTACCCCGATCTTTAAATCATGTCGAAAATCTTAACCAACCCCTAAACTCTGACTAAACTGAATACTAAACCTTAACCCTGCACTCATACCCTTAAACTTTGTGATGGAGAATAAAAGCATATGTAGTACATCTCTGCAATACATGCACATTTTCTTATATTTTATCGCTCCCACTCAACTTCACATCTCCTATTAGGGGGTGACAACACACAGCATTCTTGTGGACTTGGCGGTATCAGTCCTACCTAGTTTTCTTTTGCTAAGCTACTCTAACCCTCCCCCTATCCTCCACAACATAGAGACTTATTCTGGAGCCTCAAAATAACTAAGGGCTAATTAGACTTTTTGAGAAAACACAGGAAGTGAGCACAAGACCGCTCTGAATTGGGGATATGATAAACAGGCATGAGTGCATTCAGTGGAGTAACAACCGGGGCGGCAGCCAGTGCGTTGGCCCCGGCGTAAAGCTGAAGGGGGGCGCTGGCTGAAAATGGCACTTTTGGCTAAATGCCGAAAGTGCAATTTTCCTGCGGTTTTGTCTATCCTCTCCGCTGGGCGCTGCTCTGTGTCCCAACGTGGAGGAGAGAAAGTGACAGCCGGCCGAGAGCTGCGGGAGGAGACCGCCGTGAGCGACCGGTGTCTCCTCCCACACCACTTAGCCGCCTATCAGAGTCTGGCAGAGCGGTGTGGGGGCGGAGACAGCCCACGCTCTCACAGGAGGCTGGGCTCTCCTCCCTGCTCTGTTCGCTCAGCCTCCTGTGACAGCGTGTCAAGAGAGCGGGATTTCCCACGATTATCGTAAGGTGTGTGGGGACCTTTAGAGACTGGAGTCTGTTCTTGTCGGTCGTTCCAGGGATCAGGTGAGTATTAAAGGGTTATTAAACCCGATAAAATCCGAAACTGCTCAGGCGGCCGCAAAGCATCTTGGGGTGGGCGCATGCGCAGTTCGGATTTACGGCCGGGAGACGAGAGACACAAGGTAAGTCTATGGACACATGCAGACACCGTGGGACAGTAAGTACCAGCAAGCTCAGAGGAGTCAGCGCTGGATCGGAGACCAGCCGCACCGCTGGAGGGACAGATGAAAACATCAGGGAAGAAGAAGAAGAAGATCGGATTAAGAGACATCAGTTAAGGTAAGTGCTGGCATTTACATTGGGGGGAGGGGGAAAAAATTGACTTTAATGTCACTTTAACCACTTCCGGGCCGCAGTACGTCTATAGACGGCGGCCTGCAGAAGTGGGTAAAACAAGAACAGCGCTGCTTCGGCAGCCATGCTTCTGGTACTGCTTTTAACAGCAGGTGATTGCGGTGTAACTTACAATCGATCTGGTGTCTGAACAGCCGCCGGATGGTTTGTACCGTGTGGTGTGCCCCCCCCCGCCCCCCGCATCGGCCACTGGGTCGGTGGGTCT